GCCGGGCAGCCCGGGGCCCCTGAGCACGGTTAAGCACCAAGTGTGTACTGCGTCCAAGGGATCCCAAGCAGGAGGCTTCCCTCTGCACTCTCTTCAGGGGCAGTGATTTCAGGCGACAGGCTCACAAAGTTTGATTTTTAAAAATAACTGAGTGTTGCCCGGCCGGCGGGGCTCAGTGGTTGAGTGTCAGCCTCCGAACCAGGAGGTCGCAGTTGATTCCCCGTCAGGGCACATGCCCGGGTTGTGGGCTCCATCCCCAGTGGTGGGCGTGCAGGAGGCAACCGATCAATGATTCTTTCTACCTCCCTTTCCCTTCCTCTCTGAAATCAATAAAAATATATTTAAAAAACAAAAACAACTCAGTGTCCGGTCAGGGCACACGCCCGAATTGTGGGCTTGATCCTCAGTAGGGGGCGTGCAAGAGGCAGCCTATCCATGATTCTCTCTCATCATTGATTGATGTTTCTCTCTCTCTCTCTCCCTTCCTCTCTGAAATCAATTAAAAAAAATTGTTTTTAATTAAAAAATAACTGAGTGTAGGTCTACATTGCTTTATCCAAACGCTTTAGGCCAGAGAGGTTTGGCATTCGGCGTTTGCTGGTTTGCACAGGTGCTCCAGGTGTATTCCTTAAGTGTGATTTTGAGGTCTGGGTGTCACCTTGGGGTTTTGCACGTTGGTGTTTCTGCGGGCAGACGTATGAGTACCCACACCAGGTGGCATAAAGACCATGGCTGCCCTCCCCTCGCTTAGGGCTGGCGTGGCTGCCCAGGGGGTTAGGAGAAGCCCTTGCTTTCAGGCACTGGGGCTTCGGGACTGCGCGTGAGGCCCTCACTGAGGCTGCAGTCCCTTTTCCCGGTGCTGGTTCTTTAACCTCCAGGAGGGAAGGAGGAGAGGTGGAGGGGAAGGGGGCTGTTTAGGAAGCATGGAGCGCAGGGCGGTGAAGCGGGGCTGTCTGAGACAGGAGGTACGCTGATTCCTAAGTGAACATGGAAGGAAAGTTCTGGACTTTGAGAAGCAGCAGCACAGGGAACAGAGAGAAGGGGGACGCAGGGGGCTCAGCCTGATGTGGGCAGGGGCTGACGATCACAGGTACCTGGGCTGGCTGCAGGGGGGGGCTCTGCTGGGGAGAGGGGGCCGGGAGGGGGCACGTGCAGATCACCGAGGCCCTGTGGGAGGAAGGTGGAAAAAGCGGCGCCTCTCGCCCCGCCCTTTCATGCACACACAGGGAAGGCATGCCCGGGGCCCCGGGCTCTGGGGCAGGTGCCAGCCTCAAGTCCCCTGGCTGGGGGTTTTTGCCGCCCACACCCCCTGGGGAGCAGGCGGGAGCTAGGCCACCTGTCTGGGGCTTGAAGTCTGGCTTTGGGGCATCCTTACGTGTCGACCAGTAACCCCTGACCCCTGCTTTGGGCCTGTTCCTCCAAGAAAGCCCAGGGAGACCAGGCCGGGGCTGTCTCCATGGACCCCCCCTCCCTCACACCTTCCCCAGGACCAGAGGGAAATCACAAAGGGTCCAGGAGGATTTGTCCCGTGGCTTCCCAGGAGGCTGTGGTGCTGTCCCCCCCCC